AGTAGTGGGATCTGATTAGGAAGGAATCAACTCAGCCCAAAGAAATCTTTAGATCCCGGGGATTTGAATTGGACTTTGGAGAACAAAGGGTTTGACAAGGTTGGGAAAGGTTTGGTAAAGCAAAGTACGAATAAGTGGAGCTAATGTAGGGTTGAGTGGAAGGAAACTAAATTGTAAAGGCAATACAGTCTGAGAAGGGCTTTCCATGCCAGGGTAAGGAGTTGGAATATTGTATACAGTGGGAGGCGATTAAAAGTTTTCTGTCCTAGGAATGGAACTGGTAGCGATGTAACCTCAGGAATGGTACAGATTCAAGTGGTTAGGCTATTACCACTGTAGATAAGAGGAAAACCCTGAATTAGGCTATTGGCAGAAAGGACAGAGGCAGCTGATTGGCAATATTCGACCCACAAATGGGTTGTAATAGTTTTAAAAACCCTTGAATAGGGCACCAAACACCGTTTAGAAATTCCCACTTGTTCTAAGCTGTGTTATTCAAATTGATCACTAGGAGGCATCAGTTCATCAACTAAGAAGCTGAAAAAAGGCAGCTACGCAGATGCACCCATGAAGTCTGGATAGTTCTGTATTGAGTTGAGAATATTTAACGTTTCCACCTATGCATTTTGGAAGTTAGAGTCTTCAATAAAGTATTTCTGCTAAGTAGTATTTTAAAAGGAACTGAATAGTTAAAAGGGTAAATTACAGACAATATAAGACCTTTATGTGCTGGTGACAGTGACCAGACATTTTCAGAGATCATTGAGCTTTTAGCAATTTTTGAAAGATATTTGAACTTTGCTGTATCCAAATCTCTAATAATCACTACTGTGAGAGTCTACTGTGTATTGCAGATTAGGAAGTTCGTAGATTTTATAATCTTGTAATCAAGTTGGAAGTGAAAGTAAATAGCTCTTGTTATTAAATTATCAAGCTCTTTTAAATCAAATGTCTAATGTGGAAACTAATTTGACAAACTTATTTGTAAAAATAAATGACATTCACACATAAAAAAAATAAATATCTAAGCCAGCATTGATTAATGGACTTTTAGGCAAGTATTTGGCTATTTGCCAAGTAGGAGAAACTGCTACCAACTCAGTAGATGTTAGGAGGTAATACATACTGTGGAGAAAAGAGGAATGGGGTGGTTGCAACTTTAGACTGGTTAGGATAGGCCTCGTTGAGATGGTATTTGAGCAGACTTGGAGGAAGTGGGATGACCCTCGCCGCTGTGTTGAAAATTAGAAGACAAGGGTAGAATTAGACGAGATAGGAAGGAGTCCATTGCAGTAATTCCTGGGAGAGCTGATGGTGATTTGAATGAGTGTGGTAATGAAAGAAGTGGAGAGATAATGGACAGAACATAGAGTTTGAAGGCTTCGCTGATGGAATTTCCTGACTTAATTTGTGGATTGGGTATCAAGAGAAATGAGTGAAGGATATGCTACAAGGGAGGTATGCTTCTAAGTATTTCCAGTCCTGGGGTGAGAACACAATGAAGACAAATGGTTAAATACTTAAAACCTTCATTGGATGAAAATATGTTCAATGCACCTACCTTGACAATTATATCTTCATAAGCACCTGAAAAGCCGGGTCTGAATTTCAGAATAGTAAAGTCCCGTGCCAGAACGTTACTTGAGAGCATAGCTGATCTTCAGCCCTTCTCTTCCTATCCCAGTGCACACACTGCATTCTCTGCAACAGTTGAGGCCATTAAGGCAGGGTATTTGGAATCTTGAGTACCTGGTAGTCTAGAATGAGTATGAACTCCAGATACGCATGTCATTTTGACTCGTCTAAAGCTCAGGGCTCTGGACAAGGGTCTCTTGACTTGTTTTAAGAGCAATACTGCTCCAAGGGTTTTGGCCTGGGCAGATGGATTTGCCTTTGGCTGAGAAGGGGGCTGTAGGTAGAGCAGATCAGGGTGAGGACACAAGTTTGGGAGGACATATTTGAGTTCTTTACTAGACATTCAAATAATCCTGTAGAGAAGAGCAAAAAGAGAATTTTCAGTTTACAGTAACCCTGGCCTGAACATGTCAAAACCGAAGGCTATTAAAGACAAGACAAAACAAAAAACTATTAAAAAACAAACTGTGGCTTTAACCCCACATTGTTACTGAATCAGTTCCATCCAGGGATTTGTTTTAACCAGTTGTATGTAAACCTATGGTGGACTCCAGCCTACCCAGAGAGAGATTTTTCAATTGTTTTAATTAAAAGAAGCTCTATGAACCCTATTTTCCATGGCCTAAAAGTCCCATTAGACTCTTCCCTCTGGTGAACTGCTCCGTGAGTGTGTTCATCAGTTTTTGTTCCCTTGCCTGGCATGTTAGTATCATTTTTTAAGTGTGGTGGCCTTTGTTTTATACTTTGGCAACAAGTAGTTGGATATAAATTGGGGAGTCTGGCGTGTCACTGAAAATGATGAGACTGGTTGAGACCAATGAGTGAGTTAAGATAAAGAGGAGAAGCAAGGACTGCTCTGGAGCATTCCAATAGTAAAAGATGGGGGAAAGGGGAGGGACCTATAGAGCATCCTGAGACAGTGACCAGAGAGGTAGAAGGAAGACTAGAGCAATATCCTTGAAGCCAAGTGAAGAACTATCCAAGGGGAATATAATCAACCGTGTCACATGTTGCTGGTGTACAACGAACGTGACGTAGACAGCTGTAATACGCAATTTGAATCCACCATTTCAAATTGGTTTACCAACGCAATGATTTCATTAGTTTGCATTCTACAATTTAGTACCTTGTAAGTGACATTTGTAGGGTTTCGTTATATCTATGGCTAAAATTGTGGTATTGTGGGGGTGGGGGGGGAACGGTTTCCTGAAATTTTTTTTGTGTGAATTTATTTCATTGTCCTTTTTTAAAAATGGCCAACGTGACCATTTTTGTGAGTTGGTAGTGCCTTTTGAAGTGAATTAAGAGCAAAGTTGTCACTGAGCTACAAGATTCCTACATACCTGCGATTTCCAATAATCCATGCACTGTGGTCAGAGAAGGCACACTGTAGACTAACCTGTTGACTAGCTTAATCATTGTGCAATACTCAGCTGGAAATTGAATGGTAAAGCATCTAGTTAAAATAAGTGCTATTGAAAATTGTGCTGGTTTTCAGACATTTTAAAGTAGTTCAGAATGCATCTGCTACATCCTGATTAACTGCAGAAAGTTAGATAGCACCAAACATTTTCTCCTAAGAAAATGGCTTGCCACTTCAGGATTACATGTTTTTTTACTCAGTCAAGTTTGTATTGTATCATTTTTCCACATGAAATGTCTTCCTTGACTACACCTGCCCTCAGAGACTCTGAATTGCACACTATCCTTTCCAAATGAGCAGAAGAATGGCGTTCTGTTAAAAAGATGAACAGCTGGTCATGTAGAAATTCCCTGGAATGTTCACTTGTCCTACGAAGGCAGGCAGAGAACCGAGATGTTAGGTGCCGGGTTTGTCACTGGCACATGGAATTGCTCATTTTTAAACATAATCTTACTAGAAATCTTTACATGATTTTAATAATTGCCTTTTTCCATTAACAATTTGAAGGCCCTGACAACCTGCCAACTGAAATTCAGTCAGACTCAGGACTATGCTGGAATTGTCCCATTTGCTAAGACATTGTTTCTTACGGTAAGATTCAGGGCCCTCCTGTGTTTAAAAGTTACCCTGTGTTTTCAATTACCTTGGGATTCAGTTCGAAATTTTTAGCATGACACAAAAGATTTGACTCTTCTTCCCCAAGCTCATCTCTCATTTCTTCCCTTGTTGAATTCTCTGTTTCAGCCATAGGAAGCTAGCAGATGAGCTAACTCCTGTCTCTCTTGGGCACAAGGAGCAGTCTTTTCTCCTACTTTGGCCAACTCTGGTTTGTCCACTCTGCTTATTTCTTCCTGTACTTCTTTGTATCCTCAGGGTCGGTCCACAGTTGGGGCTGTTTACTTAATGGATGAATTTCCCCACTAAGAGGTTTGGTTTCGGTTTGCGCTCTTTATTTTGCTTTGTTTTCCAGAATTTATACGTTAATTTTTCTTGTTTGAATGAGAGTAGTAGGGAAGAGCCTACGGGGCGAGTACAGCATTACCTCCCCCAGATCACAGACCACTGAGACGACAGATCTGGCCCGTTAGGCGTTTCCAAAGAGAGAGACCCGTGGAGGCCAACCGGCTGTGTGGAGGGCTAAGCTATGCCTTAAAGCGTGAGGTGTCTCAGCCCTGGACGTTCTCCGGATTTGTAACTGGAGTGGAGTTCATGTTGTGAGATGTTGCAAGCCTTACGGATGGTTCAAGAAGCTGGAGAGCTTGTGTCCCGGGTAAAGACAGGCTAGTGCCAGAGCTCCCAGGCTGAGAAAAGGGAGGCCAGACGTGCTCTGAGGTGGGTCACCTTTTCTCTAGCCCTTCCAGACGGGACATACCAAGCGCTACGGCCTTGATCGCCCTCTCTGCTCCAAGGAGAGCTAGTTGATGACTGTGGGCAAATAACGAGTGTGAAGGCACCGTGTCGTCGTCGGCCTCTGTGTCCTGAGCTGTTTACTTAGGGTCCGGGGTAGGCACACTTCGCGGGACTCCGCGGCTCGGGAGCCTGATCCCCAGCCTCCTCGCTCGCCCGGGGCCAGGCCCCTGGGATCTCGGAGCTCCTCGCGAATCCCCGGGGTTGGTTCCCGAGGGCAGCGACACAGCTCGGCATTCCAGACCCTGCCCGGTAGCCGTACCCAGCCCTCGCAGCCCTATCATTTTCCGAGGCTGTGGGCACGGAGCCCTGCCGGCCGGGATAGGCTGGACGGTAGGATGGCCTCTCGGCGCCCTCTGGGCGTCGGCATTCGTCGCCGGGCAGCTGGGGGCGCCCTGGGCTGGCGCCCTAGGAGGAGAAGCGGAGTTTCCGGCGCTCGGGGCCCCGCAGCCAGCTCAGGGAACGCGCGCGGAAGAGAGTGGGCGGCGAGAGGCGGAGCCAGAGATGCGGGGGGCGTGGACGCGGCCGGCTTTGGAAAGGCCCCAAGTTAATGAGGCGTGCGCCGGCGGCAGAGCGCCTCTGCGAGCTGGGCTTTCCCCCGCGGTGCGGGCGCCAGGAGCCGCCTTTTCCGCTGGGTGTCACTCGGGGGTGGGGGGGATGGCCCATTCAAAAGCGCCGCGACGGGGCCCGGCCAGTGCCTTTCAGTGAGCGCTCGCAAGAGGACGGCAGGCGCCCGGAGGCTCGCTGCTCCGGGACCTTGTGGCGCATCAGGACGCGGCTGCCCTCCTGCCCGGACCTCGGGCCGCCGCCGCCGCCGCCGTCGCTCTGCTTCCTGCGGGTTAGCCTCCTCTGCGCGCTCCGGCCGGGCGGCCGCGGGAGCCGCTGGGGCGAGGACGGCGCGCGGCTGCTGCTGCTGCCCCCGGCCCGGGCGGCTGGACGGGGAGAGGCCGAGCGGACCGGCGCCCCTCCCTATGCCGGGAGGATGTTGGAGAGCAGCGGCTGCAAGGCGCTGAAGGAGGGTGTGTTGGAGAAGCGCAGCGACGGGTTGCTGCAGCTCTGGAAGAAAAAGTGCTGCATCCTCACTGAGGAGGGGCTGCTGCTCATTCCGCCCAAGCAGCTCCAACACCAACAGCAGCAGCAACAGCCTGGGCAGGGGCCGGCGGAACCGTCCCAACCCGGGGGGCCCGCCGTGGCCAGCCTCGAGCCGCCCGTCAAGCTCAAGGAATTGCACTTTTCCAACATGAAGACTGTGGACTGCGTGGAGCGCAAGGGCAAGTATATGTACTTCACTGTGGTGATGGCCGAGGGCAAGGAGATCGACTTTCGGTGCCCGCAGGACCAGGGCTGGAACGCCGAGATCACGCTGCAGATGGTGCAGTACAAGAATCGTCAGGCCATCCTGGCGGTCAAGTCGACGCGGCAGAAGCAGCAGCACCTGGTCCAGCAGCAGCAGCAGCAGCCCCCGCAGCCGCAGCTTCAGCCCCAGCCCCAGCCCCAGCCCCAACCCCAGCCTCAGCCTCAGCCCCAGCCCCAGCCCCAGCCACAGTCTCAGCCGCAGCCGCAACCCAAGCCCCAGCCCCAGCCCCAGCAGCTCCACCCGTATCCGCACCCGCACCCGCACCCGCACCCGCACCCACTACCGCACTCGCACCAACAGCCGCTCTCACAACCGCTCTCGCAGCCACACGGCCACCGGCTTCTCCGCAGCACCTCCAACTCGGCCTGAAGAGGGCAGCACCCGGACCAGACCAGGTAAGGTCCAGGCAACGCGGGCTACCGAGGGCCTTTCCGAGGACTAGGTTGGGGGGCGGGGGAGGGCTGTTCGGAGGAGTAGGAAGCCTAACTCACGGGCTCGGCGCTTGCAGGGGAAAATGAGACATTATTACAAGTTTCCGCAGATGTGGAAAGAAGGGAAGCAAGCTGGAGCCTGGAAAGGCTGGGCAGAGGCGGGAGGATGGGGAACTCGGGCCCGGCTGCGAGGCCCCGCGCGGACCGGCCTCCCGCCCACCCTGGCGCGCGCCGGGGTCCCTGGTGCGCTTCCCGGCGACGCCGCGGCCTCCCTCCGGCGCTTCCCACGACCGCCACTCCGCTGTGTCTGGGCACTCGAGGGAGCGGCCCCGGTGTCTTTCTGAGCTTTGTGCACCGGACTGGCCCGAAGAGGACTTGGGTCTTGGAGGATTCTGAGTCACTTACTTCATTGCCTGTCATTTCTTTCCAGGTTTTGAGGACTTGAAGTGGGACGAGCACCTTTCTATTGTCTTCGCTTGAATCGAAAACAAAAGTCTCCCCGCCCCGCACCGGATCAAGTAGTTTGGACATCACCCGGCTGATAACTTGAGATTCCTTAGTTTGCTGCATACTCTTCATCACAATGCAGGAGACCGTTTCAGCCCAGAAGGCTTTATTTATAAACCTTTGAAAGGCTCTTCCAGTATGGTGGACCTTCTAGGAGCGATGATGTACTGTAATTTTATTTTAATGTATTTTGACTTATGATTATTTATTAGTTTTTTTTTTAATGCTTGTTTTAAGACATTTCTGAATGTAGGCCATTTTCCAAAAAAGAAACTTTTATTTTCAAAAACCTATTATTCCCTAGTAAGTTCTAATCTTGGAAAAGAAAAAAGTAGAAGGGCGGTGGAGGGGAAAACCATGAAGAACCCATTCGTTATTCCTAGGGCATTTTCAGAAGGTCTGACACTTTCATTGTTATGCCAGGTGGTTGAAATTAAACTCTGTGATATTACTTCTTTTTTTTTTTTTCTTCCAGATTTTTTTCTTTGGACATATATTTTCTGTAGAATTACAAGTTTAAGAAAGCTAAATGTTCAAAATTGTATAATTATGAAAATCTAACTGCTTTTCTAAAAGGAAATTCGTAGTAATGATATCTAATTCCAAATATTTAAACCATAACCCAACTGACGGCAGGATGAGCATATCTTGAATATATGGGAAGGCTGGGTGTAATGTAGGAAAAGCTTTGCTTATATCATCTGTTCGAAGGGCTTAGTAAGGCGATTTCTATGGTTTCTGAGTATGACTGACTGCCTTAGGTGTTTCATTTCAAAATCACAGTGGGGGGAAAGAAAACCATTCAGCTTGCTTAAAAGAACATTTGTGCTCTTAGCCATACTAGAGATGACCCTTCTCCAAGATCTTTGCACACTCCGCTTGAACCACGTTTTCTGACCCTTTTACTGTGTTCTAGAAATATACTCTAGAATCTCATAGTTTAAAATACAGTTTGTAAATATATCAAAGGACTAGGAGTCCTTGCTTTTTGGTATTCATACTGAAAATAATGTTGACAGAGAAACCAACTGTTTTGCTTTTTATGGCTCTGGGAGAAAATTTGAGGGTTATATGTTTTGTAGTCAGGTTAGCTAAACTCAGAAATTGAAAAAGGAAGGACTGGATAAACACTGGATTTTCAGTAAGAAAACAACCCAGTCTTGTTTCAGCAGCCCTTTGCTCAGGAGTCTGAGGGGCGGGGTGGAGGGGGGGAGGATGTGCTTTTAAAGGTAGAACAAACCCTCTTCTGTGTCAAATCAAAAGGATGGTCAAAATCCACAAGGGCAGATGCTGCTTAAGCTTAAAAAGAGCCATAGTTGATAGCAAATCCTCTTGGGGCTGGAAATCACTTCCTATCTGCATGGCTTTACTGACAGTCTCTGTTTCCATTACCTTTTTCACAAAGTCTTGATCAGTATTTTTCCAGCATCCACATTGAAATGGTCAGTATTAGGCCATTGCTATATTACGTGGTCAAGAAATGAAAGTAGAATTTAATGCTAGAGAGGTCTTTATTCTCCTTCCACCTAGAAGGGAGTTTCATGATTAAATTCCTTTTTAGCACAATAGTGAAATGATGAAACTTTGAGGTCACAACCCTAATCCAAAAAGTTGTGGGGGAAGGCTAAAAGTCAGGCAAATGGCTAGCAACACTGAAGCGGACTCTCACTTTCAGTGGCTGAGGCACTGTGGTGAAAATACACAGCGAGTTTTATATAGACAGGATACAGGCAACTCAGACAGCAAATCTGAAGAGTTCTTAAGTCAAATGTGGTTTGGCTGCTCAGAAACTATTGCTGTGCTTTTTAGAGAATGCCTTGCTGAGCTGTCGTTCTAATACATGCAGATCGCATAACCCCCCAATGAAACTGCAGTTTTTCATGTCAGGTTTTGTGCTGTAAAATAATAACGTCCGTACCAAATATTTTTAAAATTAAGATTCACGTGGGCTTTTAAAAGACATAACAAATGTCTTTTGTAAGCTAGGTAGTATCCTTGAAAAAACTATGCCCGGGCTCCCTCCTGGCTGCTGGAATCCATTGGCACTCCCTCCCCTCCCCCACCACAATGGCTATGGTTGTTAATGCGGCCACCAGAATCCTGGTTCCTTATCTTGTCTTTCCACAGCCCGTATTTCTTGGTCCGCTGTGATATTTACATTGAGTTGGCCCCTTTAAGAGGGGCTCTCTAGTCTGAACCCCTCTTAGCACTTACCTGTGAAACCTCAGAAATTAGGAAGGAGAGGAATAGGATTTTTTTGTTGTTGTTTGACATTTTGAAATGATTGTGGCTGAATCTTTTTTTTAGAAAAACAACAACAAAAAAAGCATGCTTACCAAAACAAAATACAAATGCAAATCACTTACTGTGTCAGTGGCAGAAGTCTACCATATTCTGTAAGAAAATGATACAAACCACTGATGCTATTCTGAGGCCTGACAAATCACCTTCATGGAGAAAAGGTAAAAATGGTCCTTTAAATCCAAGACAAGGAAAAAGGAAAGGGCAGGTCCAACAGAAGACACACACCCCTTAAATAAACACAATGTAAAAAGTTAGAAAAATGAAAAGCAATGTCCCCATCTGGAAACTGAGCTTTTGTCCTTGAACTTGTGCTGACACCGAGGCCTTGCACGCAGTGAGCTCAATATCTATTTGCGGGGACGAATTAATGAAAGAATGAAAAAATGTGTAACTCCCAGTATCCAGGAGGCGGTTTCTCTTGCCTCACACAGTGCTTCTTTTACTCGCTTTCTTGTCATTCCCTGGGAACAAGTGACACTGGGCAGGCCAAGCTTCATGGCCAAGCTCCCTAGACATACTTCCTTAGCAGAAGTGCACATAGATCTATCTGCATATGCCCTTCAGGGAGGGCTGAGGTCAGAGAGAAAATGGCTATAAAGGACCCTTTCAAAATGAACATTTTCGTCATAGAGGAAGTTAGGATTCTCTCATTGTGTAGAAATCAAACCAACTGTATCATTTCACTTCACATGTTTTCTGCAATGGAGGTTTAAGAAACAACAACAACAAAAACTCAACTCATTGCTTACAGGAGATCCCTTTCTATGTAAATGCTTTGAGGAAATCTGGCCTAAACCCAAAGGCCTGCTTTAACCCCCGCCCCCTCCACCCTGCTCTCCCCCTGTACCCATGCCATATTTCTCTTACAGACCCCTCACTTTAAATCTGACCCTCTGCGACTGTGTTGCCAGAGTGCGGATGGGAGCACACTGCTTGTTTTCCGTCCCCAGGGAAAGTGACTTGGATTTAGCTCGGCTCCAGTCATTTGCAGGGCCATGTGCAGTGACACGGGGAGAAGAGGGTCTGAGGCTTTTGAGTGAAGCTGGAGCCCAGAGCTTCGTAGGTGAGACCAGGCCTGTGAGCAGCATCTCTTCTCTTCATCCGTTCAAACTAACTTGCTTTTGCTTTACCAATAAACTGCCCTTGGCGGCAGAATAAAATTTAAATTTGGGAATTACATAGCTTGATATTGAGTATGTCAGCGATTCTTCAGAGAGAAATATACCTGTTCACTTAAGGCAAACTAGGATGTATTAATTGTAGAGTTCTGGCGAATGGGTATTAGAGAACTGTTTTCTAGACTCTTGACGCACCTCGAAGGGTGGCTTTTTCATCTGCAGTGTTGAACAGCCAACCTGGATTTACAGGAGATTGGATGACAAAGTGGTCTGTGACTTTCTTGGCAGGACATTTGCCAAATGGAGGATAGGAGCCAACGGGGTTTTCCTGCCAGGGCATTATTGTCCAGTGAGGGAGCGGAAGGTTCTGGAAGTATCTGCAGAAAAGCCGGTGAGACCTTCCCCGACCTGCTCTGTAGCTGACCTGTTCGTGGCCATTTAGGCTTTGAGAAAGATTTTAATACTATGTGGTTCTTCTAGATCACTGTATTTATTTTGAGAAGAAAGAGAAACTGATGGCCCATTACATTCCGCTGTCTATCTTCTGCTTAAAGTTTTAGAATACACAAATGTCAGCACCTGCAAACCAAGCATCACCAGGTACCAAATGCTTTAGAAAGTATCACCTTTGTGAATTCAATAGTGTGGTCATAATTTGTGTAAATATGTCTCGAATGGTTTTTGAGAGATGTGATTTATTTTTCGTATTTTCAAAATGCATTCCATTTCAAATAAAGTATCTATTGAGATGATCAATCTGTGCATCTTTTAGAGGCCTTACTCGTGTGGTGTGTACAGTATGTGCTCCTATGGGAGAAAAGTTCTAAAGGCCTTGGCTGTTATAAAGGCCGTGGCCATTCTGGGAAGGAAAGGACTGTTTTTGAGGTTGGGAATTAAAAAAAAAAAATTACCTAGTAGTTTTTAATGAAGAAGATAGTAATTCGCTAAGATCTTTTGATGAAACAACTGGCTTTCAGAATGCTAATGAATTTGAGTTGAATTTTCCATAGCCCCCCAGAGGATGAGAAATGGACCCTAGTGATGAGCTTGAAGGCAGTTTTCTCTGAGTTCCAGACAGACTCGGAGTCCTAGGTCTCCTGAGAGGGTACAGCCTTGACTCTAAAAGAACAGGTTATGTATAAAGCTTCCTGGTTTTTGTTGAGCACAGAAGGGGGACTTGATGCTTTAAAGTTAAGTAGTATAACTTTACTCTTCCAATCTCATTGGCATCTAAAAGACATTAAATCTCAAAAGACTTCAAAATGGGGAATCTGAAGGCAATTTGTTATCCTTTAGCAGAATCTTGCATTATTACTCTGCCATGTCTTTGTTTTGGTTTTTAAAGAAGCAATGAAAAATGAAAACAAATTATTGCCATTGCAAGGGGATGTCAGGAGTACTGTGTGAAATAAATATACAAAGTAGGTGATAAAGCAGGGTTGAAGGGATTTGAGAGTCCTAGCACATGGGTTCAAGTCCAAGTTCTATCACTTACCAGATACATAGATCTTGTGTCTCTTAACCTCTGGGAAACTCAATTTCCTTCTCTGTTAAATGGTTAATAAAGATTCCCACCTTAGGGTTATTGAGAAGATTTAGTAAGTTAGCACACATACAGCAGATAAACTGGCTTGGGAACCATTAGGGCTGTATGAATGTCTAATACATGGTGTTTCAAAGCTGTGAATTGTATTTTATGAGATCTCAGCACTTCTTTTAAAGAATAAGACCAGTATGATGGCTATATCCTTGTTTTTAACTTTAGAAAAGAAAGGCAACAATTATGTATAGTGTCACTATTTTCATTTTATTCTTACTTTTCAATCTTGGTCCACATGCTTATGTATTTAAGTGAGTTACAATTAAACAATAAAAATACTCATACATGGATCTGTAGAGGATGCTGTGGTACTTCACCCAGATTGCCACTTCAGGATAGACAGGACATTTGGTCCCCAGGTATGGGAGTGTTGGTGGCTGCTGTGCTTTCAGAGAGTCCTTTCCCCGGAATTGTCCTCAGCCTGTCTCAGGGAGAGCCAGCTTGCCCTGGGACACAGACCTTCACATCCAGTGATGGGTCTGTGGAGAGTGGATAAAGACCAGGCCCTGTGGTGTCAATCTGGACAGGTATAAGGCCCATCCCAGCTCCCAGAGCTCCCTATAGAATTGTTTTTTGGTGGGTTTTTTGTTTTGTTTTGTTTTTTATTTTTTTTAATATATATTTTTTAATTTTTTTAATCTTTTATTTCTAGGAGAGAGAGAGAGAGACAACGTGAGCAGGGAAGGGTCAGAGAGAGAGGGAGTCACAGACTGAAACACGCTCCAGGCTCTGAGCTGGCAGTCAGCACAGAGCCCGACGCGGGGCTCGAACCCACAAACCGCGAGATCATGACCTAAGCGAAAGTCGGACGCTTAACCGACTAAGCCACCCAGGTGCCCCTTGTTTTGTTTTTTAAAGAGAGAGAGTGCAGGAGAGCGGGGTGGGAGGGGCAGAGGGAAAGAGAGAGAATGTTAAGCAGGCTCCATGCTCAGTATGGGGTT